GAGAACTGTGATTTAATTAATAATTTTAGTCCTCTGTTTTGAGGCGATAACTCATTCAACTTAAACAAATTTCTACGTAACATTCTTTCGATGTATAAACATAAACAATCACAGTTAAGCATGTACACTAGGGTGATTCAAAAAAAAACTTTTTGTAGAGCGTTCAATTCTCTATAAAAATATGTGATTGAATTTTTTTCACGACACACGACGGGCTAGCAATAAAAATCAGAAGGTGCAAACAAAAATTTTCCCATGTTATTCTTATGGGAAATAGAAAAACGCGATGCGGACGGTCTTAATATTAATATTAAGAGCTCAAATTTTAACTGGTATTTTTTTACGTTGAAAAGAAACTTTTGAACCTCTTTGCACGAAAAAAAAAATTATTTTTTTTTTTGAATCACCCTAATGTACACTGATAATAATACAGTCTTTTCCGTTGGTTATTTGCTTTGAAAATATTTCATATTGTCCCTATGTCAGCAGACGGCAGCCCCTTGGAATTTGCACCCTCGCGGCGCAGGTGGTTCGAGGCACCACTGGTTTTTAATACATATACCTACAGGGAGATTCTTTTAACATGAAACTTTCAAATATCTCGAAAAGTAAGCAGTCTACAAAAAAATGTCCAGATTCAAAATTTAATCATTCCATGGGGGAAATACTTTGGTGCAAAAAACTAGTCCCCCTCACCCCTCTTTTTAGGTGCGGCGAGCGATAATTTTGATATCTTAAATAGGAACCCCGAATGTTTATTAGAGATTAGGATTCTACGACTAAAAGTACGTAGGGTTCGTTTAAAACAATTTTTTTATATTCATGACAGATGACGCTGTAATAACGAAATTATTAGTTTTTATTTCTCCTACTGAGAACCTATGCATACAATTCTGCAGTAAACAATACCACATTTTCAGTGTAAATAATGTTGCCGAATCGTATGCGTAAGTTTGCAGTAGGATAAATCGGAACAAATTGAATTTCGTCTATTCAGCGCTATCTACCACAAATCTAAAAAAATGTTTCAGGCAAATCATACGGACTTTTAGCCATAGACTCCGAATCTGCAATTAAAAATAGCAGTTCCCATTTAAGGTTTCGAAGTTAACCCGTGCCCCACCTACAAGGAGAGGAGTAGAGGGCTAATTTTAGCACTAATGTATTTCCCCCACGGCTTGATTAAATTTTGATTCTGGATATTTTTTCGCAGAGTGCTTATTTTCCGAGATATTTGAAAGTTTCAGGTTAAAAAAGATCACCCTGTATTAGAGATGTACCGACTACAGTCGGCCGACTGTTTATAAATGCAACAGACAGTGGTTTTTTTTTCTATTTCTCTGACTACCTTAAAAACTTGTTTTATTTTAATAAAAGGAATAACTGAAGTTTCTTTTTTTTCCAAAAAATGTGTTAAATTTTTTTGGATAATTTTAACATTTAATTTTTTGTAGTAACTCAGTACAAAAATAAAGAATAACACAATTTAGGGCAGTTTATACAATACTTAACCAATTTTAACCACTTTTTTGGAAAATTTTTGGAAATTTTGAATTCGCTCTGCGTGTTTATTGGACCATATATCGTGACGGCGATTTCAGAATCGTAACTAGCGGAAGATTATCTACACTTTGACACCAATTTTCGGTCGATTAAACTAATTTTAACCGGTTTTGACAAAGCCGACTAGTCGGCCGACTGCAGTCGGTACATCTCTACCCTGTATAAAGATTATCAGAAAACAAAAATTTTTTATAATGTTTCAAAGAAGCGGAATTTGTAGGACTGTAGTTCAAAGACTAGGGAAATCTGTCGAAGTAACCTTAGACCATTTTTTTAAAGGGAAGTGAGAATTGTTAGTTTTATTTAAAAAATCATTGAATAATTACTTTTGAACTAAGACTTCGCGAACACAGTTAAATGGCGAATATTTAGGTAAATAAAGTAAAAAGCATTAAAATTGGCAGCACATTACGAACGTTACTATTTTCCAGGGGACTGAAAATTTCCTGAAAATACACGTTCTCATCAAATCAACTTTTCACAGTGTGGAACAAAAGGACATAATAATTTTTTGTCAAAGTGACAGATGCCAACTTGATTATAAACCTATTCACTCTGCACAGGTACAGTTACGGCCTTAAGTACACGATAATTTTGTCTATTGTAAATGTATGTTCAAATCATGACCGCTCAAATAACAAAGTTTAGCAAATTTGACATTTTGTTTATTCAAAAATGTTACGCCACTGGTAATAGCCAGACTTACATTAATTTAAAAATTCAAAAAATTCCATGACAACGAAAAATCGTGCACTTTTGGGGGGCCGCAACTGTACACAATTTTCACATATCACATGAGATAAAGCTTGGAACAAAATGTAAAAACGTTATTAGCATTTAAATAATATTTAATCCCACAAATTAATTTAAAGGTTAAATTTGTAACTAATATACTGGGTGTCTGGAAAATGTCGGATTAACTCTCCGCCACGCCCTTCACAATCAACTGGTGAGTATGGGAAAAAATACTAAAAAAAATTCTTTTCCTATTTTGGTGGAGTAATAATGATTTTAAAATTGGTTATTTTGCTACTTTTAACAACTAAACAACACATTCATTATTACAATAACTAGTAATGAAATTTTAGTTAATATTTCTCTCGCCTACCCGCCCTCTATCTTTTTTAGAGAGATCTCATTTGCCAAAATCAGTCTTATCTTAGCAGGTACTATCCCCGCCCACCCACCCTCTCTTGTCTTATAGGGTATGTCATTTGCCAAAATAGATCTTATTTTAGAAGGCACTAACCCCGCCCACCCGCCCTCTATTTTTTTAGAGGTATCTCATTTGTTAAAATCAGTTTTATCTTAACAGGTACTAGCCCCGCCCACCCACCCTCTCTTCTCTTAGAAGGTATCTCATTTGCCAGAATCAGTCTTATCTAAGCAGATACTAGCCCCGCCCACCCACCCTATCTTTTCTTAGAGAGTTTTATCTTAGCAAGTAGTGATGACTAACTTTTACAAAAAATGATCAAAATTTGGAAATATTACGAGCTTACTTATTTATATGCACAAGGCAGCAATTTTGAACATCTTCTCTAGTGTTTAGTAGATTATGTTTTAACGGATTTTTCTTTTATTGTTTTTTTTTTGGTTTATAATTTATAAATGTCTTATTAATTTTTTTTTATTTGTTGTGAAAAATAACAGCTTGTTTTATTAATAATAATGCACAACGATTGTTATGGTTATTGTGCTAAAAAAAAATAAAAGGTGGATTTCAGTCACCATCGTTACTAAGAAATCAGAAAATAAACCGGAGGTATTCATGCATTAGGTGCGTGCAGTGTTGCCAATTTTACTTTCATAACATTACGTTTTCTTCGTAATCACATCATAAAGAATTTCGTTGTTTTTTTTTTGGACTCCCGAAACTCCCGTATATAACGTACTGAAGAGTTAATCTGCCATTTTCCAGACACCCGGTATATTACGCACGATAGAACAAGTTGGCATGAAGTGCTAAATTATATTTGTAATAAGCCATAATAGTTAAAATTTTTCGTATTTGACATGACAGGGAACTGAGAAGGGTAGTGTTTTGATACAAATGATTAACTTTAATGAATTTGAACTCGCGAATATGAAAAAAAAAAAACACAAAAAAATCCTATTTCTGTAGAAAGACCCATACAAATGTCAAAAACAAAAAACGATACGGTCCCAACATATCACAATTTGCTTCCGCAAAATTGACAAGAAAATCCGTCCACGTCCGAGTATGATTTACCACCGAGTTTGCCCTGCATGAAACAGCAATTAAACAATTTTGCTTTTGTTATACTTAAACAAATATTGACAACAAAAACCCGTCTGTGTGTATTTTCGGCCAAAAATTGCCAACAAACGATCCTTTTCCCGCCGATTAAACATGAAAAATTCCCCATTAATAAATCCCTCTAGAATTGACATTCTGCTAAAAAACACACTTGATGAGAACACATTTTTCTCGACGAAAACGCCCCTTGTTCGTGTCCATCCGCACAAATGACCACCCTCAACCCTCTTTACACGACCATTACTGACCAAAGGCGGGCCGACGTATAATTAAGTGTATCCCACGCATTCCGCTCTATCAAAGTTTTTGTATTTTTCCCACGAAACGATTCACCGGAGTTGAAATATCGTGTTTTTTCATTACTATTATTCGATTTCGAAGATAAAGATAAAATTGCCTCGGCTTCTAGAAGCTTTACGCGCAAACAAATCGAGGAATAATCTAATTTTCGAGGCGCGACAAATAAATATAGGGATTTTGCAAATGGTTATAAATGTATAAAAATAAAACGAGATTCGCCGATTTTAAAATTTAGGCTCCTGAGGGTGCATACATAATTATTTTGTTATCTGTGTTCAAAAAAAGAAGAAAAAAAGGTGTTGCGAACCGCATCCCTGGTGGGGATCGAACCCACGACCTTTGGATTAGAAGTCCAACGCGCTATCCACTGCGCCACAGGGACGTACGTTCGGTAGCGATAGCACCTCGTAGATATACAGTCAATTCGCGTCATCTTTTAAAATAACTGTTTTATTTGTGTGCCTTAGTTTTATCCACACAAAAACACGAATAAGTTTTTCAAAACGTTAACATTTTGCATTTGAAACCGTACATTTCATTCGCGAATTATAATTGTTGTTAATAGTTTAAACAGTGGCGTAACAACAAGCTACGAGGGACGAAGAAAAAGTTAATCACTGAATAAATCATGGTCTTCCTAATTGTCACATGCTTTTCAGTCTACAATTGATACAATTTTTCATTTATTCGAATACGGCATTTATAACAATAAAATTTTTATCCACTAGTCAAAATAAAAAAAATAAATTGTTTAAAATGAAAATAAAAGACACATGACCAAAGCAGACTATGCAATAAAAATATTTAACCTCAAAATACACACTTGAAAATTAAATTCGGTGTTTAACCCTTCCAGGAGCCCGCTTGGAAGTGCCACGTCTGGAAGAAGGGTCGTGAGTCGGGCAAAAGCAAGAAGCCGCGTCGTAAATTCCACTTCAAGCAGATTGCGCGGGCTGTCAAGTTCACGTCAAAATTATTTGGAAGAGCCCTCTCTAGACGTATCAAAGCAACAATCCTCTACGCTACCGAAACTGGTAAATCTGAAAGCTATGCGAAGAAGTTGGTCGAAATTTTCGGGCACGCCTTCAACGCTCAGGTGTATTGTATGGCCGACTATGACATAACGAGCATTGAACATGAGGCTCTTCTCCTGGTGGTGACTTCCACTTTTGGCAACGGCGACCCTCCAGAAAACGGAGAAGTAAGTAAATTTTTTTAACAGTTCGTCTCTAAATTTCGTTTCATAGGAGTTTGCTAAAAACTTATACGCTCTGAAGCTAAGTGAAAATGGAATCCCGAACGGTGACGTGGGAAAACTTAAGTAAGTACTGTTTTGCTTTTTCTACTTGCTTATACTTTTCTACTGTCAAAAGCTTTACTAATTTGTATATATGAGGTGGCGGTATAATCTCTTCTTTGCTTTTCTCTCTTTGTCTGGTGGTGGTGCAGTATGACTATGGCTTCCTCCAAGTCCTTCATTAAAGCAAATAGCCAAAGCGAAATTGCTACTGCCAAAAAATTAGACCGACTGGATTCTTTGAGAGGATCTGTAAGTGAACCTTTGTTAGAAGACACTTTCGGACCTCTCAGTAACGTTAGGTAAGTGGCTTTAGCTCTGCTTATTGAACACTTTTGTCACAAGAATGGAATTAACGTGTTGTGAAGGTTTGCAGTTTTCGCATTAGGCTCTAGTGCCTATCCCAACTTTTGCGCTTTTGGGAAATACGTGGACAATCTTCTCGGGGAATTGGGGGGCGAAAGGTTGGCTAAAATGGCGTCCGGGGATGAGATGTGCGGACAAGAACAAGCATTCAGAAAGTGGGCTCCGCAAATTTTTAAGGTAACTTAACCAACCAAAAAAGTCTACATTTTTCTCAAAATTACTTTTAGATTGCATGTGAAACGTTTTGTCTCGACGATGATGATACTTTCCTAGAAGCTACGATGACTCTACAGAGTGAGTCTTTAACTTCACAGACTGTGAGGTTTGTGACTTCCAAAGGTAGCAACATCACAACTGCCTTGGCCAAATGCCATAACAAGAAGGTACGAAGTTTGTTGGTGTTGATAGATTCTAAAAAGTTGTTCCAGGTGCATGCAAGCCGACTTCTACGTCGTACTAATCTCCATGGAGAAAAATCATCCCGTGCTACTCTTCTCCTCGAGTTTGAAAACAACCACACGTATAACCCTGGTGATCACTTGGGGGTGTATGCAGAGAATCGACCTGAACTAGTTGACAAAATCATCAAGCGTTTGAAAGGGGTTGAGGATCCTGACACCCCAATAGAATTACAGATGCTTAAAGAAACCCATACTTCCAACGGCGTTATGAAAACTTGGACCCCTCATGAACGACTTCCGTCGTGCTCGTTGAGGACTCTACTTTCAAGGTTTATGGATATTACAACACCACCAACTCCACATTTGTTGCAGCATTTTGCTTCCATTGCTACTGAACAAGAAGATCAACGCAAACTTGAACTGCTAGCGACGGTGAGTACAATGTCCGAGGTGACACTTTCATTTAATGGTCGTTACAGGATTCCGCCGCTTACGAAGACTGGCGCCACTGGCGCTATCCCAATCTTCTCGAAGTTCTGGAGGAATTCCCGTCAGTCACTCCCTACGCTCCTCTTCTGATCGCCCAACTATCTATTTTGCAGCCCCGCTTCTACTCCATTTCTTCAGCTCCTTCTCTCTACCCGACCCAAATCCACTTGACCGTAGCTGTCGTGGTATACCGCACCCAAGATGGCGAAGGTCCTATCCACTACGGCGTCTGTTCCAACTACCTCCAGGAGGTTCCTGTTGGAGAAGAAATTTGTCTTTTTGTCAGAAGCGCCCCCAACTTTTATCTCCCTAACGATCCTATGAAACCTATTATTCTAGTAGGACCGGGTACAGGAATTGCTCCGTTCCGGGCCTTCTGGCAACACCGTCAAGCACAAGTCCTCGCGAACAAACAAGTGGGAAAGATTTGGTTGTTCTTTGGCTGCCGCACTCGCGAACTTGATCTATACAAAGAAGAGAAGAACGAAATGTTGAAGAAGGGTGTAGTGGATAAGGTGTTTTTGGCACTATCGAGAGAACCCAACGTTCCCAAGGTACGAAAGCGGGTGTTTTGATACGTTTTAACCTAACTTTTTAGACTTACGTACAAGATTTGGCGCTGGATGAAGCTGCGGAGATTTATAGGATACTGGTTTTGGAAAAGGGGCACTTTTATGTATGTGGGGATTGCACAATGGCAGAACACGTGTATCAAACGTTGAAAACTATTATACAGAAATACGGGTCGATGAATGAGCAGCAGGTAGAGGCGTTTTTGTTCTCGTTGAGGGTGAGTACAATAGCGTTTCGAGTCGTAAAGTGTAAGAATCTCTGCTCATGACGAATTTCATTTAGATAAACCTACGTATTTGCGTGGTGTGACGCCTCCTATTAATTGTCGTTTCTAATATTTCATACAAGTCTATTTGTGTACTCGTTATTGTCACGAATGCGAAGGTTGGTTGGTATTTCAGGAAAAAAGCTATTTGTGTTAGGGCAGTTACTTGTGTTAGAAATAAACTGACATTTAGTTTTGACGCCATTTTCTCACTAAACCACAATCACACTGTCGAAAAAATCAAAATGATGATGGCAGTGGACAAATAAGATTTTTTGTAACAGTTCAGTGGGTTTCAGGATGAGAACAGATACCACGAGGACATCTTCGGGATTACGTTGCGGACTGCCGAGGTCCACAACAGATCGAGGGAGTCGGCACGGATCCGGATGGCTTCGGAACCCTAACACCGGATTAGCTTCTAAGTTGTAGTTGTTTTTTATGACTGTACAAATGATTCTTTGTCACCTTTCTCTAGCACAAAATATATGCACAATTCAAATTTCCATATTTAATGTGATATTCTACTATATCGTTTTAACCAATATATTGTGATTTTAATGCTTCTATTGTTGTTGCAAGATCATCGAATTTATGTAACTATACGATGTTTCAAAATTCAAAAATAAAATTATTACTTGAGTTAAGTTTTTTATTAACAACAGCGCAGATCAAGTTGAAATTACAAAAATAAAGCAGCTAACATTTATAATAAATACAATAACATCTATAATATCAAAACTGAAACATTTTAAGCGTAGAGGCTCCTTCGGTATTGGTTCTTGATGGAGCTGGCCAGGCATAAGCCGAAGAAAGCACCTAGAAGCTACGTCAAACAAAAAAATTAGAAAAAATACGACCAAAGTTTTTCGAAAAAACTTCCCTCGCCACAATCAATACAGTCCATTTTCTTAGAAAAATTACAAAAATTTTGATTTCAAACTTAACACAAACTATTTGTTTATACTTAGTTCGCGATCACAAACGATAAACAGGAAGACCTACTTTTTGCTATTCTAGAAAACGTCGAGAAATCAAGTGGACTCGGGAAGTAAAAATGTGTGTGAATTTTATTCAGTGATGTTACCTCTGCCAGTGCGATTCCTAAAGCTACACCTCCGATAATTTTGGCACTTGATTCGAAGAACTCTTGAAGTATTCTTAAGCATCCGTCGTGGAAAGCGTTCAGTTCTCCTTTTACACAAGGTCGAACATCGTTCGGACAACAACTGTCGGGAAGTGTAGCGTTCTTGTACTCATCCGGTCCATCAAGGCCACAGCAGTGGGCCTACAAGTCGTCGGGGTTAAACATGAGGAAAAACAATTACATAAACATGCACTTTTCATATCCCGTCATCTTACCTACAAGGTATCAAGAAAAAACTAAAGTCTAGTTAAACTTTTATTGTACTTGTTGTTCCGTAACAAATGGAATGGTTAAAAGTAAAGTTGTACGTAACTACAATATAAAAACAACTATCTTAAAATTTGAAAGTAAACAAACAAAAGTAAAAAAAAAGAAAAAAAAAAGAGAAATTATGTGTAAATGTTTCTTCTGTAGTGGTTTCTTATCGAACTCGAGAGGCACAAACCGAAAACAGCACCGAGAATCTAAAAAATAAAAGATAAAGTTAACACAAAAGAAAAAAATGGCGGAATTTTGAGTACCTCGATGACTGCTATGCCGATAGCGACACCTCCAATAACGTGAGAACTTTTATACAAAAAGTCATGAATTGATTCCTCGCACCGTCTATCGTAAAAGCTATTGTAATCCGTGCTTCTGCACACTTCTGTACCCTCTCGACAACAACTCCTGGGTAAATCACCCCTTTGTGACATAACTTGTTGATAGTTATCGTTAAAACCGCAGCAATGCAACTATAAAAGTATAATTTTCAAGGTACTACCCAGCGTTAAATACTTGCAGGTAAGATATGAAAGAGCAGGATATGAAAAGGCCACCAAATAGAGCATGTTAACTCACCCCAAACAATAAAAGAGAAATAGCAGTTACTTTAGCAAAGAAAGATTAGTACATAGTAAGTACACCACCACTACATCCTGACTTACCCAACTCTGAATGGCATCTACGGTCTCCCTCTTTTCATTGTTTTCGTAGTATCCCTCGAACGTCTTCTGAAGACTATTGCGAATGGACATGCGGAATTCCTGCGGGTCTTGGTTAATTTTGATGAACGCATAGACTCCAATAGCAACTTGGATGATGAAGATAACCAAAAGAATAATGGCGTACTGAAACAACAAAAATAGTGCGACGTTTCGAAACTTTCGGTACTCACAGTTGTCAGCATGCACGGGCTCTCCTTAACAGCTCCACAGCATCCCAAGAAGGCTGTGACGAAAACCACGGCTCCTATGATTATCGACAAAATCGGGGCGACCCCGAAATTCGAAGGCAGGGCGTTCGTGGCATCACTGTAGTTGAATTTGTACAAAACCCCAATAATCACCAACGCCAGGCCCGCCAACTGCAAGGAAAAATTGCATTTAGTCGCTTCCTAAAAATAACCGCCTTCCATATCAAGGTCATCGTTGTTGATTATGCGAGAATGTCAAAGGTTTCCACTCAACGTGCCATCCGTACAAATGCGCTGTATTTATAGACGTGATCCCATATCGCTACTAAAACTGATTTTTTCGTCCTAATTGTGCGTTTTTAAAGTTGTTTACTGTAGAAATTCACGCAGAGGCGAACGGCTCAAATAGACGCTGTCAATATTTGGCTAAAACGGTTTCTTGGAAGTTTGTTAGAACGACCTCTCGTGTTCTAGCCTTGATTGAAATTGTTAGTGTGGAGGTTGAACCACTCCCACTGCTTCTTTTATTTAACATTAACCCACATTTGCGATACCTGTGGCTAGCATCGGTGAATTATCGACAGGAAACGGATGTCGATAAGTTCAAAAAAAAAAAAGAGAGACGGCTGGATGTTGCACTGTTGACTGTTGACTGGGTCACACGCCGTCTGACGTCAACGGCAACGTTGACAGAGATATCGAAAACGTGAGTCAGAGTATACAAAGACTCATCATTAAAACAAGAATCAAAAACATGTACACACAATGTTGATCAACTTGTTTCACAAGAAAGGAGATAATGGAAGTGACGAGATCTGCGAATAGAGCAACTTTGTAGCAACGACTTAGACTTAGAAAGTACAGATTTTACTACTGGACAAAACAAACAAGTAAAGCTCAGTTGACATAACCCCAATTAACGATAATTTCAACAACAAAGTGATACCGTGCACCGAATATTTTTAGCTGCCTGCCAACTTAGCAAATACAATATAAATAAAAAAATATTTATCTAACAAAAGTGCGTATGAAAAATGGTGCCCGGCACACCTAAAAAACGTGCTACTGGTAAGCGACTATATCAAACATGATTGAAATATCCAGTACCCGTAGCAGACATTGCAATTAATCTAACGCGTCCTCTCCCTCTCTCTCTATCGCTCCATAAACCGCAGCCCCCATCAATTGACCAATTAATTCCGAAAAGGCCAAATGACTAAGAACGTGCAACCTTTGTCACCATATCAAGAAACTGCAACCGTGACGTCCACACTGATTCACCGCGGTTTCTACTTAAAAAAAACCATTGGTAGCCCTGCTCGTACAACCTGATCCGGAAACTGTTGATTGCAGCCCATGAAATACAATAGCCTTGATGTAAATGATTGAAGACGGTTGGTAACGTGAAATAAATGCGATAATTATGCAAATGGGCGTCTTGGGATTACGTAATTGTGAAAACAAATACGAACAGTACAATAGGGAACGTGCAACCGGGTTAGCTGGTGGTTAATTATTTTAATGGAAATTGGGGCTCGATTAGGTGGAATCAGAATGGGTTTCGGCAGAGGAATGTGACGTTACGTAAGATGGTCGGAGGGTCAGCGGCGAGGATGGGCACTGACCTTGGATGTGGGAAGGATGGCAGGAAAAACAAAGGAATTTGGAGAAGCTCCTATTGTTGTATTTAAATGGAGTGAAACTGAAATTGTGTTCTTGTTGGTGTTTTGGAAAACAATTTTGTTTTGTAATTCTTGGAAAGCAATAAATTTTTTGCGGGGACTTGAAGGGTAATGTAAATATTACAAGGTTATCTTTGTCGCAAAATCAGTAATTTATAATTACCTAAGATCAACATGTGAAATTTTACAATTAGCGGAACAAAAATAAAATGTAAATGCGCTTTATTTTATAGTTTTTTGTAAAAATCATCAAAGTAACAAAATGTGGAATCCACTACCCTATAGGTTGTTATCATTGTTGTCTTTATAGGTTTCATAGATTTTAAGTAGTCATAATTAGTGTTCAATTATGTGACGTGCTATCGCTATCTAAAAAAAACTCATAAAGTATTGTATATTTAACCAGTCTACGTATTACTCTCATTTTGACTCATTTTATGACTGTAATAAATGTCTTACTATTGTTTAATATTTATTAAGATTAACAATGCAAATCGGTAAAGTGAAAATCAGTCAACTTCCTTAATGATTAATGCTATCAAGTAATGGAGAAGAATAAATCGTTGGCGTTATAAACGGTGGAAATGACCAGTTGCACAAATAAATTCCCCACAAAACCAACATAATCAACCCAAAAATCACACATTAACTCCAGATTAAATCACGTAAACCGAGGAACCATTTTCGGCAGTTATCACCCTGTAATTAAAAGATATTCACTGTGGAAACTTAAATAAATGTTCGAACTGGCTAAATGAAACAGAAATTTCAAGGTCGCATTATATTGAACTACGATGACTACGAAAAGCTGAGTATAAACACATAAGTAAAGTCCATTTCAAACCTATACTAGTCATCAATTGGAACTGTATTGAAACAAAATTGGGCCATTGTTAGGAATGCCAAAATTTTAAATTACAGCTGCAATTATTTATTATAGTTTTTGCACCGACTTTATAGCTTCCAAACTTCAAAGAAAGTCCCCGACTGACTATTGCCGCCAACAGTAAAAAAAAACATGTTTTATTATCGAGATTTTCAATAATTAACAATAAAACGAGACGATGCAAAATGTCGCCCACCAAGTCTAGTCTAAACTTCATTCCAATTCAAAACAACTAGATTCAAATTTGCCGTAAGTAACTTATCTATAACTTTAGTTATTTCTTTACACATATGTATTTACCAACAACCACAAAATCAACACTTTCTTCTTACATATTTTTTAATACATTACAAAGTACATTTTATCTTAAAAATCAGCTTTATAATCGAGTACTACAATGTAACTGAGAAGCTAAACGCTACAGTGATTGAAATGAACACTTTATGGAGGTTATAAATCGCTACCCGAAACGCCTAATAAGTTTGAAACACTTTAAAAATGGACCTACATTTTTAATAATACATCCCTAGTTTCCAAACAGTGGTCAAAAATTGTATTCTCAAAATTGGTTATGTGCCACTCTTTTAAAACAAGGTATCCGAAGACAATTTTAAGAACTGTCAAAATTTGTCCGATACTCATTAAAACGGAGCGGCATTCACAGCCAACTTTATTATTCTACACGTACACATAATGTAAATCGTATCAAAAATAATTATTAACCCAAAAATAAACGAAAATCTGAAACTAGTTACATCTACGTTGTATGGTAACACTGAAAACTAAATTATTCTGAAAATGTACATGGTGAAAAAGTTGACGTTTCTCTCATTTCCACAAGTTCAGCGCTCTATACATCTGCACGTGCGAAGAATAACGTTTTACCGTTTAAACTCGATAATCTTTTCTAAATATTTACACTAATAACGACAGGAAATGCAGATGGGGAGCAAAAATGTATAAGTGCTTGATTTTTCCGATATTTCTTTGATTTCTGGCATTTCTAACAATTGCAGAGACCAAGACCTATGTATTAAAACAAGGATGAATCACAGGTGAGCATACTGTTTTGCATTAAAATTCTGAAATGACCTCATCAAACTTTTGGTGAGGATGAGCAAACTAACTACGCTTAGCTCTATTCTTAAAATTTTGCAACGATCACGATAATTTCGTCGAAGACATGTGGAAACGGGTTTTTTCACATTCTAGGAAGCTATAAAACGTCCAGATAACACGAGTTTACGTCAAATGGACCCTGTTACAATACCTCCCTGATTTATATTCGGGAAGTGAAAAAAAACAATTGTTGGCGGCATTTTTTTTATTATTATTTCCGCCAAAGCTGATCTAATACACACAGAGACTATTATACACGTAATTTATTGCATTCAAGTTAAAAAATAACGATTAGTCAGAAATAAATCCAAGGTCACACTTGACATTATTTTCCCCTAATAAAACCCATCGGCCATAATTTCACTCTTCGCACTAATATACTCTGAAAAATTACTACTCCCACTCCTGGCACACAAAGCCTACGTTGATTGCTTATTTACAAAGGTCAGTCTTCACTACTTTCTTTGATCGTTAAAAAAAAACAATTCTTTAACCCATCGAGCAGACTTCGATCAAAGCAAACAAAACCACCGAAAACAGGAAACACCTGTGATATCTAACTAACGAACATATTTTGATCGCGGAAGTAACAACCTTTTCTTTCCCGTTACCTTAAGAAACCACTCAACTTTTTAGTCGACAGCCAACTCATTAAACTTATTTTTATCTCTATCAAGTAAACATCTCATCGTAAGAGAATTTTTGGGCTCTAGTGACCCCTGACACGCCGATGACATCATAACGCCCGTGACGTCACGCTGAACTGGTTCTTGTGCAACATCAGCCGAAGAAAAAAGTGAACGTCGCTTTTACCCCGTGGAGTACTGCAGGACTTACCGCAAAGATCAAGTTGGCGAGGAAGACGAAGTACTTGACAATTCCTGTGGCACAGCCCATGGTACACTTATATCCTGGTGCACCCAAACAATGAGTATTTTATTTTTAAAGCGCTGTACACGTAACCCAGATAACAGCGAAGAACCACGCTTGGCCAACTGAGACGAACTGCGTTACATGTAAAACTGGTTTTGTTGCTTTCGACGGCAGCGTACGTTGCGTACGGTGCTGATGGAAGAAGACTGGTAAATTGGTAATTTGGGTAAAGGTGGGGGAAGGGAACAACGCGCCAAAGAACTGTCACCACTGGAATAGAACCTGATAGTGATAATGGTAAATAATACTGGTGCAGGAGGCGGTGGATTTTCCCCGGCGGCGCGTCACTTTTCCATAAAATGCATTAGTCATAAAACTGAAAGTAAATAGGTTATTTCGGTGGGTGAAGTAATTTTACTACGATGTATAAAGAGATATTTACGCATCGAGCGGAACCATTAGCAGCGTAGGTAATGGCATTGCTGTGGTTATGAATCATGGGCGGTCGGAATAATTGGGTGACATGACACTGTTAAGATTTAGTGGAAGATTGGCGGGTCGGAGGTTCTTAGCAATCAAAATAAACTGCTATTTTTGAACACGCGATGTCGGTATTTTTGTGCGGATGGGATAGGCAACCAACAATATCACCTGTTGCATGCAGAGGCATCGGAGGATTTAATATTCTCCCACGTGCGAAGTTTTTATGAGATTTCAGCGAACCCTGAAAGTTCAAGTTTTTCACATCAAAAATGGTTGGGGCGGTTCTAAGTTTATATTCCACGGGGATGGAAATCCATAATCTGCAATTTTTCAGTTTTTTGCGGTTTACTGTCAGGGAAGGTCGAAGCCGTAGGCGGCGCGACCTTCCAGATTTTGCCTCCGCAATCCCGTTCAGTAAAAAAATTAAGGTTTATTATTCATTAATAATTATTATTTTATTAGTAAGAAAATTTTAAGTAACAGGTTGTTACTTGTTGCTTCACAACTTTTTTATATCAGATGGATTCAAATAAGATTTTAAGAGCATGTTAATAACTGCAGACGTGTCGGGTCCAAGCATGCGCAGTATAAAAATTCACCTACATGATGTTTATTGCACGAATTCGAAACTTTGTTGCCGTGGGATAAGAGTTCTAAGTTCTAATTCTAAAAAGTTTTATGTATTTTCTTCATTTTAGTTACGATTTTAATTAATACGGAACTAATACTTTTAATCTCGCTTTAAGTCTGTATTTTTCCCTTCTGAGCATAAGCTAAAGAAATATTGCTGTAGGTTTCCGCGACGTTTCGCCACCCCTAGAGTACGGAGCCATAGCTCTTCCGTTTCCGTCTGTCTGTCGTCCCTCTTTTCGGTATATCTTCTTCCAAAAAAATCGATGACGTCAATTAAAAATTTTTCTGAATAACCCTTACCGAAAATATGTAAAATATCTGTTCTTGTCGTTTATCAATGTATTCATATTTTTTAGAATTGCTTATATACACGTGACTAAAAAAATTAATTAATTTATTTGATGCGTCAAATCAATTTCTTGAAAATTTGAGAATACAGTAAAATTGTAGTATTATTATTATTTTATTAGTTTTACACCGCACCAATCGAAATTGAATTGCGTGTCCTCGTAAATAAAATTTTATCATTTTTCAAAAAAAAACTGGATATTCTCAGGGACAAAAGAAGTTGCCTAAATAACCTTAGACCAATTTTTTTAATTTATTTTAATAACAATGGTGCTGGTATATCCATAGCCAAAAATGAAGGTCAGAAAACTTGCGAAGAATGACAATAACGTAAATGGGTGTTGGTCACTTGCGCGCCGCGGTTAGTTTACCTTTGTGGCAGGTCTAATCCCCAAAAAGGCCATAGGACATTTGCGCGCCAATAAGGGATCATAAAGGTTGTTATTGCTTACAGGAATCTAGCTGATAAGAAGCCCCCAGTTTCATGAGAATTCAAGAGAAATAAAAATATTTTCAGCTCTATATACATATTTGATTATTAATAAATACGTGTGTAAATGTGTCATAGTTAAATAATTTTTCCGAGTACATATTTATTTTAATGTGACACCCACCTAAACTACTACGATTGGCAACAACTGTTTATGATACCTATGAAGCCTTAAAGTTATATAAATTATATTAACGTAATTTTTTTGCGCGCAACTGTCCCTTAAATCCCAGATTTTTCTGATCGTGACGCACAATTAACCCATGCCCACACAACATAATTTCTCACCTACATTCTACAACAAAATAATTTAAATGTTTGGATCTCTAGAGCTTTGGAAAAAAATTGAAAATTGTACAAAAAAAATGAAAATTTGTTTTAGGAATTATTGTAATCGGCTGCTCCAAAACTTTATAACTGCATTAAGGTTATTATATGGTAAACTGCTACCTACTCAAACTTTGTCAGGTTCCTACCTCGGTTACAAAAGCTAAATACCATATATCGACAAAAAATCGCAATTGCTCAAGAAAATTCATTGCTGAAGCAGTTTTTTTTTATTGAATAAATTGAATTCGACAAACTTTTTTCTTTGAAGTTGGCCAGATTAAGGCACATGAAGTATTTTTCGGCAACTATATATGTCAATGATTTTTTAAGAGCAAGCGATTTTCGCCCTCAAACGCTAAAGATTTTTGAAATGCGCAAAGGTCAAGAAATTGTTTTCGTATAAACTCAGGATCACGAAGCAATGCGTACACGTCATGGATGACGTAGATCCGTTACCAACACTAAATCAAAAATACGCGCCGCAATACGTGGCAATACGGATCAAAATCGATCAATTTGGGGGAAATTATATTGGTACGACTGATAGCGAAACATATGCTAAAGTTTTATCGATTTCACAAGTGTCATTGGTGTCAACTTTGGTTATGTTGTGTTATTGTTTGATTTTTCGCGTTTTTCTACTTTTCTGCTCGTGTAATCGTATCAGTTCTTTTCAGAACTATAACAGTTCTTTATAGAACTCCAAGTTAACTGTCCTGTACCGTGGTACGTGTCGCTTGCTTGAACGTAAACATTCCACCATGCCGAAGCCCTTGCACAAAGATGTAAAGCAAATGGACGATAATTTAGTGGACTATTTTGCTAAAGAACGCGATAGCGGGGAACCTCTTTTACCACTAACAGCTGTTCAAGACGTAAGTAGGTGTATTTTATTACAATTACTAATGCAGTCACATTGTACAGAGGGTTGCTGCTGCTCTGGGTGTATGTGTGCGAACAGTGAACTCCGTGGTACAACAAATAAAAACCGGAGAAGGTGTACATTCTCCCAAGAAATAGAGACCCCCGAACAAAGCAAGTGTGTGATATTAGCACTTCGGAGCAGTGTGCTATTCGAGAATGCTTATATGGAATGGTCGAAGAAAGTATGAATTTGATGCGGACGCCTTATAGATACTAACGACTATTTTACAGAAATACATGTTACACGATCGCCATTAATTGATTGCTTGAAGGAGAAACATATATTTGAGGGTTCTGTGAGCTCGTTAGGAAAAATTTTACATTCTCAATTGGGTTTCGTTATTCGCCAACCAGTGTACGGAAGCGTCTTATGGAATTACAACATGTTGTTCATGCAAGAACCAAATTCTTACGTGAATACATGCACAATCAGCAGAACCCAAATTCTTTGCCATGTGTATAACTTGATGAAACATGGATATTTGAAAATGGTTCGGTAGTTAGGTCATTGCAAGACGATAGTGTCATAAGTATCAGGATGTTCAAAATAGAAGGGAAAATTTAGTAATGTGTCAGTTTCACGTTAGTTATTTATTCTTCTCACTATATTTTAGGTATATTGTATTACATGCAGGTACAAGCAATGGATTTATTGATGAAGCAGCGCTAGTATTTTCTTCTAATACCAAAAATCCAGACTATCATGGCGAAATGAATCAACAGAATTTTCTCAAGTGGTTTCAATTGCTCATGAACCTTGAAGAACCATCACAGATTATTATAGACAATGCAAGCTACCACGGTACCTTTGCAAACAAATGTCCCAGTGGTTCATGGAAAAAAGCAGAAATTCGTGAATGGCTTTAACAACATGACATAAGTTCAGATTCACAGCTGTTAAAAACGGAACTTCTTCATTTGGTTGCACAGTAATGCATATACTATTCTCTATCATTTCATTTAAAATATCATGTTTTTCAGAAATAAACCTCCAAAAACGTATGTTGCCGTGAATTGGGCCAACAGAATGGCCATAGAGTATTGCGATTGCCGCCATATCATTGTGTGTTTAACCCTATAGAAAATACTTGGGGAATTACTACAAATTTTTATTCCAAACACATTGGGCGTGATGGTTATGGTCAAAAAATTCCGTGGAAATGTGGAAAGAAGCGTTAGCACATGTCACGCCCACAATGTGGAAAAATACTGTTGACCATATGAATAAAATAATACGGGAGTGGTGGGAACGGGAATTAGTATTTGACCGTGAAGAGATTGCGCCGTTTATAATCGACATTAACGAAGATTCACATTATAGTTTTAGTGATTATGACAGTGAAGATTCTAATACTGCAGAGGGCATTCAGCCACTGTAACATGTAGGTTATTTTCCATTACCATCCTAATTGATTGTACTAGCGGCATGTTCTGCTGATGTCTTTTATAATCACACTATCACTTCACTGGCCAAATATACAAATCACTGGTCAGACGACGACGTTGTGCAACATGCATACTTATTATTGTTTATACTTTACTTTTGTATCTATTCCATGTCAATAAAGTAACTTATTCTGTAGATGTGACGTGCCTATTGTGGCATTGAAGACGGTAAGCATATTTCTCTAACTTGAAGCCTGTCACAACTGTTCAATGCTGTCTGTTTGAGACGTATGTTAACATTCTCGTTGGTAGCTTTAAGTACAGTATGAAGCCTTGTACCACCCTCCAAGTATGTGTTTAACACCCAATTGTCAGCAGTTTTTACCAGCAGTCAATGCAAAAATGAACGTTCTTAAAGCCAGTCATTCACGTTCCAACGCCGGGGTACGATTGTATTGGATACAACTGCTGTACAATTTTGCTGAAAAGCAGCAGTACACACACGTTACGACCTTGCAGTTAAAAATTTGCGATCGTGGTGGCAACATGTCCGAAGAAAATGGACTTTTATACCTGCTTTCACGGTTTGTATAACAAACACTGTCCCCACACGATTAAGTTTCCAACCAATACAACACGATTGTACTGCTGCAGACAGACTTGTTCACCAACCGTCCACATCCAACCGATTTGCTTGATCGCATACACAGATGTTCGAAAACAC